CAGGGCTCTGTGTGGGGTACGGTAAGTCAGTAATGTCCATTTAGTTCAATCTATCAGAGAGACAGCAGTGTGGGAGTCAACCCTCTGTAACCACGGCCTCATGCCTCCAATGTCTCTGCTCATAGATTGTCACAAAAACTGAAAAGTGATGTGAATTAACGTTTCTCTCATCTACTGCTTTCTTTCTAGCTGTATGAGTCATTCCCTAGAGTGATGAAGCACTTGCCGGGTCCTCACAACAAAATTTTCAGCCACAACGAGGCCCTCCTTGACTTCATTGGTGAGGAGGTAAAGATGCACAAGAACAACGTGGACCACAACAATCCCCGGGACTACATTGACACCTTCATCACTAAAATTGAGAATGTATGTGAATGCGTGCATCACGCACACACTGCACTGTGTAAACCTTCCTGTCAATCAACCTGCCATTCACCACTGTATCTTCTCTGCATTTCTGAACAGCACAAAGACTCTGAGCTGGGCTTCACTGAGACCAATCTGGCTCTGTGCTCTCTGGATTTGTTCCTGGCTGGAACGGATACAACCTCCACCACCTTGCTGTGGGCCTTGGTTTTTCTTATCAATAACCCTGATATCCAGGGTAGGTGACGTGCCAGGCCCTATACTGAGCCAAGTGTCTCTGTACTCTGTACTTAGGGACAATGAATGAACTAAATTGATGTCATAAAAATTTCAGAGTGATCCATCCTATAGTTGTTAAGATATCTCAGTCTAGACCAAGGTGGTGGACCAGCTGACAGAGCAGGCTGCTAGCATGGCTAAAATGATAGAGATTGTTTGTATATGTTGCAGCCAATAATGTAATAAATATTGTTACATTAACAGTAGTTATTAAAGTAGTTATTATGATGGCTGCAACAGTAACCCAGTCGGGTTACTGGCATTACAGACTCAGTGTGTAACATTTAGGGGGCTCTCTTTGCAAAATATAGCAGAAATTGATTATAATATTCTTAAGTATGTTTTCAGAGAATTACATGTTTTTATCTACAGAGGGAGCAGGCCCTTTTGCAAATTTGAAGTCTAGTAGTTAGTGGACAACTCTTTGAAGTAACAGTTTCTTTGTAGTAATCAGTCAAGGAAGCTAAAACTAATAGCAAACTTTTCTAGACAAAGTCCATGCAGAGATAGACCGAGTGATTGGACAGACCTGCCAGCCCACTATGGCAGACAGACCCAACCTGCCCTACACTGACGCTGTCATCCATGAGATCCAGAGGATGGGAAACATTGTTCCTCTCAATGGACTCAGAATGGCTGCCAAGGACACGACACTGGGCGGTTACATCATACCCAAGGTGCATTTAGTACACAGTAATTTTAAGTCTTGAAATGTTTTGAAGAATGAAAAATGTTGTTGTTGTTGCTGCATTGCTTGGTGTTAACCTACATATCTTGTTTTTAAGGGTACGTCCTTGCTGCCCAACCTGACCTCTGTGCTGTTCGACAAGACAGAATGGGAGACTCCAGACAGCTTTAACCCGGGACACTTCCTAGATGGAAAGTTGTGAAGAGAGAAGCTTTTGGCTCTGCAGTAAACCACATACACCCAATCCTAAACACAACCTGAACCAGAATATAAGTTTTATCTTGAGCTCTGACATCTTTGTGTGTTTGTGAAATCTTAGGGAAACTGTGTGTCTTGTTGGAGAAGGCCTTGCCAAGATGGCGCTATTCTTGTTTTTTGTCGGTTTACTACAGAGGTTCTCTTTCTCCGTTCCTGATGGGATAGAGCTGAGTACAGAGGGAATTACTGGCCTTACACATGCACCGCAGCCCTTCAAGGTTTACGCCAAGGCTCGCTGAAATATGCAACTGACAAGACTCAGCAAAACACAAAGGAGAGAAAGCTGTAATGACTTAACCTTTCACTGTTGTATGATTGCTTCATGTGCTGAGGACCTTTTTATTCTTTCCTGTATTTAATTATGAGTAATAAACAGTTTTGGGGGAAGCATAGCTTTACAAGCTATCAATTATAATAAAACTACCCTAGGGATGAGTCTAGTTTGGTTAAAGATACTTAGAAAAAGTAGTTCAAACTACTTTGAAAACATTATCAAATTGACTGCAATTGAAAGTGCCCACTTGTTCACACCCAAAACCTAAAACAATAAATACCCCACTATTCATGGGAAAGGGCAAGGATAGCTCGCAAGTCATGTATTCGTTTAAGTATGGCCGTGATGATTCTTCCTCTGAGTTTTGGGAGGTTTAACCATGATGACGCTGTGAGCACTGAGCAATGCCTGCCTTTTTATATATGCTCTACACAAAGGTCATGTTTGTGGTGGTGGCTGCTGGAGGAATGCATTGTCAACAAAGAGTACAGGGCTGGTCAAAAGGGGTTCAATTACAGATATAATAATTTCCTTTTATGACCGTAATTTCTGTCCTGTTACAGTAGTTAACTGAAATACTAAACAAATGGCAAAAAAGCTGCAAAATGAAGTTAAACTACTAGTTGAATTACATGTACTTCACAACTTCCCGACACTGTTGATAAAGTTATTTTTACAAAAATATTGTATTAATGCCACTGTTCTTTACAGTAATGATCAGTTATAGGTT